CCACGAATGGCAGGGGATGGTGAGGCCACGGGTGGTCTAGGACCCGGCCCATGGTCACGGCTCCGGAATCACAACCAAGAAAACTGTTTTCCCAGCCCTCAGCCCAGTGTCTATAGTTTTTTAAAAAACTTTGTAAATGAGGGATGCCTGGGTGGCTCAGCGGTTGAGCGTCTGCCTTCGGCTCAGCGTGATCCCGAGGTCCTGGGATGGAGTCCTACATCGGGCTCCCCACAGGGAGCCTGCTTCTCCCTCTGCCTGTGTCTCTGCTTCTGTCTGTCTCTCGCAAATAAATAAATAAAATATTAAAAAAAAAAAAGGAAAACTATGAAAATGAGGGACTAGGTGGCAGGAGCAATGCTGGGAGTGGAGAGAGCTCTGAGGCCACTGGTGCCAGCTCCTTGGTGGCCACTGGGTAGTATCAGATGATGCCCTCGGCGACTCGGCCACCCCCTAGAGGCTCAGCCACCCTCCAGTGAGCCCTGCAGCCCAGCACAGGCCTGGCTGTCAGGTCACGGTGCGCTGCGCACACAGGGTGAATGAAGAGCACACACTTGTGCGTGTGTGCGAGCGGGGGCAAGGCCAGCCTTCACTTTTTCCAGGCTCAAGGAAAATGCCTGGGCTGCACTTGGCGTCTCTGGGGTCCCAGACCCCTCAGGGCCTGGGTCAGGGGCCCCAGGGACATCCTCTGGAGGCAGCCAGGAGCCCAGGGCCCCTCTGGTCAGTTCATTACAGGTGGGGAAGAGGAGACCAGGAGGCCAGGGGCGGGACGTGGCCTCCCGGTCCTGCTCTCTGCTTTAATGACCAGGGACGATGTCAATATTCGCACACGGGGCGGTCAGGCCGGCGGCTGCACTCGGTCAACACGGCCCAGGGCCTGCTTAGTTTCTCCATGGGTAACGAGGGGTTGTCTCTGAGCCCGGCTTCCCTCTGCTCATCAGACGACGCAGGGCCCTCCTGCTCTCTGGCCCTAAAATAGCGATTACGGGGAGAACAGAGCAAACACAGGATGCCTGCATACGTGGGTGGCAGTCGGCTGAGCTGTCAGCCACACGATCAGCCTCCAACCCCAGCGCCACCTCTTCTTAGCTCTGTGGGCCTCCGGGCTAGTCCTGGAACCGGAACTGCAGCCTCAGTTTCCTCATCCGTAAAATGGGCTTCCTACCCTCTCCTGACCCAAAGGCAGCGGGCGGGCTCCGGCCGAAGCCCGCGCTGCGCTCCGTGTCCGGCAGGGGGCGCCGCAGGACCTCGGCGCCCGGTCGCGGCTCCGCTCGGCCGGCCTCGGCTTTCTTCGGCCACTCTCGGCTCCACTCGGTCAGACCCGGCCAGGTTCGGCCGCACCCGCCAGGCTCGGCCAGACTCGGCCCTGCTCGGTTGTCCCCGGCAGCGCTCGGCAGGGCCCGGCTGTGCTCGGCCAAGTCCCGCCGGGCTCGGAGCTGGACGCGCAAGGCCCCGCCCTGGCGCCGCGGAGGCTGCTCTCGGCCGCCTGGGCTCGGGCTTCCCGGGCCGGGGCTCCGGGGCCGGTTTGGCTGAGCCCTGGGCCGACGTTTCTGCCTTCCGCGCCCTGGCGGCCTCGTCATCCGGGTCTGCCGCTAGTCGGCCTGCGGAGGGAGCCAGTGGCTGCACCTGTTCCTCAGTTTCCCCCTTCTGACAGTTAACGGGGCTCTTCTGGGGCGGCAGACGCCCCGAGGCCTACTGGCACTTTCTTTCCCTGGACCCCTTGGAGGACTCAGTTTCTCCTTCTGTAAACCGGGGTTACACCTGCCCACCTCGGATTGACACTCTTGGGATCAGACGTGGGTTGTTGAAAGTCTAGGACGGAGAAACTGAGGCCAGAGGTGGAAGTAAGGGCCCCGCAGGACCAAGTCTGGGGTTCCCCGCCCTGCGGAGGGAGGGTCCCCTTGGGCCCCTGGTCACGCTGCGGGGAGGGCACGCGCGCCCCAGCTAGCCCCCGACGCGCGTGGGCCCTCCTCCCTCTGAGGAGGGGATGGAGCGGGTGGGCCGGGTCACCCGGGCCGGGCGCGCCGGGGCTCTCCCCAGCAGGGGGCGCTCGCGCTTCCCTCTGTTTTAGTTTTTTATTTAGCTTCTAGCGGCCTTGAGCTACCAGATCTGTGCCTCGGCCCTTCACAACCTGCACTGCTGAGTCCGGGCATCATGTTTTCCCTTCTACCTCATTTTTTGGACAGGCACACATTTTGTCATTTTTTTTTTAAGTACATGAGGGTACCTGGCACTTTGTAAGCACTGACTAACTCACGCTTTATAGCTTCTCCCAAATCCTGGGTTGTAACCTAGATGCGGCTAGGAGCTTGGTTCTGAGCGTCTGTGCCTCATTTTCCTCATCTGTGAGATGAGGAGAATACCTGTGCCTACCTCAGAGGATTGCTGAGGGATTAGATGAGTTAATGCCTGTAAAAACCTCAGAAGGGATCCTGGTAGGGAGTAAAAGCTGTGTTTGGGAACAAGCAGGGGGCGGGGGCGGGGGCACACACAGCTCTGCCCTGGATTTCTGGCCTTGGTGATGAGGGTTTTGGCTCTGTGCATTGGGGTTTTTCCAGCTCCAGTGTGCGTGGAGACAATGGGCTCACACGCCTACCTACACGGAGAAACACCGATGGGTGGCCAGTAGACGCTACCCCTCTTGGGCATCCCGCCAGACACCAGACTGCGCAGATGCTCTTGGCCTCCTCATGTCCCTCTGGCTCAAGGACACCAAGGCTCGGAAGTAGGGAAGCATGCGCAAGGTCGTACAGCTCGAAGGAGCCGGGTATAACCCAGTGCTGTCTGCCCCAGGCCTGGGGCTCTGTCTCCAAGCTATCTGACGGCTGGGGAGAGCCTCCGGATAGCTGGAAGACCAAGGGCTGCTGCACAACTGAAGGATATTTAGGAAGAGTGAGAGGAAAACCATTGAAGTGTAGTATATCCCATTCTCGCTCTCTGGTCTGCCCTGCCTCCAGCCAGCTGTTCTGGACAAAGAGGACAAGGGGCCCTTTTCCGGGGCATCGGCCTGCCTGGGAGCCAAAGGAGCCAGCGCTTGAACCTGACAAGTCAAGTCCCTTCCCTGGTCTCAGGCTCCTCAGCTGCTAAATGGGATGAGCGGCCTTTGGTAGAGGGGCCGTTGGGCGCCGCCTGCAGCACAGTGCGGGCACACCGGGCACACCGGGCACACCGTGGGTTAAACTTCCTGTCTCCCCAAGCTGCTCTCCCCAACCCGGGCTGTCTTCTCTTCTCCCTCTCCTCTGCCTCTAGGCTTTCTAAGCCAAACTGCTCAGAGACAGCCAGGAGCTGTCTCCCTCTCTGGTGCTGCTGACTCAGCCTTTTTCCTGGTGGCAGCAGATGGGGAGGATGGGGAGGGTGGTTCCCACCCTCTGCAGCCCTGGCTCAGCGCCCTGGGAATGCTGCCTGGGGCAGGGCCACGTAGAGGGCATGGCCAGTGTGGCCCTGGTGTTTTCTCCATGTTCTTCAGGTTGCTTTCTTTGGGGCACCCTGGGACCCCTAAATAGGCCTGGGCCAGCAGGGGGGCTCCAAGTGGGCTTGGGAGGTGAAAGCCAACACAAAGCTCCAAGCTGTGAGAGTCTGCCCTCATCCCAGCCTGGACTCTGGTCTGCTGTGACCTTGAGCCAAAGAATGGGGTCTTTCCTGGGTCACAGTCTCTGCTGGTCACAATAAATAGTTGGGTTAGGTCATCTCTTGGGGTTCTTCCAGGCCTGATATTCTACTGTTGGATTATTCCCAAAGCTGCTAGAAAAACCGAGGCCCACAGATGAGACCTGGTCAGAGACACACAGCCTGGAGGCCGTTCTATCCTCCACACTTGCCCAGTTAAGCGGGGACTAGGGTTCAGTGCCCGGAGCCCCAGACTGAAATCCATCCCCAAGGGGCACATGTCTGTACGGAGGGCAGTGACGTCCTCTTCCCAGGGGACAAACCGGGAAGTATAGCCTTTGCGCCACCACCACCCAGCTCGCCATGCCCAGGCATGTTCACAGGACTCCAGTGGGGTGGGGGCCCCTTCCTTTCTGTGGGATTGTGGCTCCTCCTCACTAGCCACGTGACCCTGGGAAAGTGCAAGGCTGGGGTGGGTTTCGTTGAAATAGTGGATGGGAACACCCTTCAGGCACCAAAAGCCCCTGCAAAGATGGGGCCCGGCCCAGGCAGCAAATACTCAACCAAAGCTGAATGAGAGGGTGCTGGAGGGGGAGGGACATTTGAGACTGTCTGTGCCCAGGGGTCTCCAAGCCCAGAGTCCCAGGGCTGCAGCCTTTGGAAAATCTCCACAGGCCCAGGAGAATACCAGAGGCTGCCCCCCTGTGAACAGGACCCTTGTGGGGGTTGGCTCCAGAAGACCTGGGGGATGGACCCATCAGGGGAGATTTCTAAGCAGAGGAGGGGGACTTCAGGGTCCCTGCGGAGGGGGCTGTTGACCTGGTTGCTGCCCTTCCCTGATACCTGAGGGGGTATTACCCGCTCACAGACTCACTGGACATGTGCTGAGCCTCCCCTGTGCCTGGCACCAGGGGGCTGGGGACTAGAGTGCTAATAGGGACCGAGGTCATGGATCTGCCCACATCCCGTGCCCAAGGGGGTGGCAGTGCCAGGATTTGACCCTGAGGCTGCTGGCTGGTGCCCCTGCCCTCTCCACTCTGCATCCAGCCCCGTGAGGTGACTGCAGAGCAAATAGGCCAAGCCCATCCCTCACCCCCACCCCTCACCCCGGATGCCAGTGCTGCGTCCCCCTTCCTGAGACACTTGGGGGGCTCCTGCCCCTTCCCTTCTCTGGCCTCAATTTTCCAGCCTACACCTCAAGGGGCCCCTTCCTGCTCTGACTCTGTTGGGCCTCAGAATCAAACCAGACCCCACTGGATCACCAAAGAGTTAAGCAAAGGATGTCCCCAGCACCCTGGCGGCTCCCTTCATCTCCCCGCAGATCCCAGAGGCTGGAGAGGAGGGAGCAGGGAGGAGGGGAAGTGGGAAGCCAGCTCAGCCCGCTCCCTCCGCCCTCCCTCCGCCCCTCTCCCTCCCTTTCTCCCTCCCTTCCTCCCTCCCTCTTCGGCTGGGCCTGGGGGTCCGGGCCAGCAACCAGCAGACATGGGCCAAGGAGCCCGAGGCTGCCCAGAGGCCGGGGGTCCGTGAGCCGCTGTGGAGGCCGGGGACACAGGGTGAGTGCTGAAAGGTCCTGTAACTTCCTCCAGCAGGGCCCGGGGCTGGGGTGGGAGCGCAGAATTCCCTTCCTCCCCCCTGTCTTCCTTCCACATCTTGGGTTCTGCTCTCTCCCTGGGACCCTGGCCAGCCGCTCTCGCTCTCCTTCCACCTTCCCTCCTGCTGACTGAGACCCTAGACCCCCCTCCCCCCCAGAGCTGCTCGGCTGTGCCCGCCCCTGCCTGGACTCTCAGCAGCTCAGTGCAGCAGGCCCAGCTCCTCCCTCCCCAGAGAGCTACCCGCTCCTGCCTCCTGCGTGGAGGTGGCAGGGACCCCGGATCACCCCAGATCACCCCAGATCACCCCAGATGGCACGGCCTCTCACCCTTGATCCCTGCCTGGCACCCTCCCCCAGGGCTGTGGTTGTGATTACCCCTCCAGGCTGCCTTGCTTCCTGCCTCCTGCCCTCCCCAGGTCACAGTTTTGGGTCTCCGAGCTTCTGACTCCCATCGGGCCTCTGCCAACAGGGCCGTCCCCAGCCATGCCAGTCCTCTGGGCGCAATTCTGCTCTTCCCATCCCCAGGCACCGGGAAGAGGTCTTGCCTGTTGCAGGAAGGAGCACTTTTTAAATTGTAGTTGTTTATTATTGAAGTGTGATTGACATGCAGCGTTATATTCGTTTCAGGTGTGCAACGTAGTCATTTGGCGATTCTATACGTTACTCAGCGCTCACCCCTACCCCACGAATGTAGTCACCCGGCGATGATGCTATTGACTCTTCCCTCTGCCATCCTTATTAAGAGTCTTTTACAAGTCAGACACTTTCCCTGATCCTCCCAAATAACCTGGGAGACGGTGGGGGTTTCAACTTCTCAGAAATGCTGAGGAGCAGCGGGAAGCCCCGGGAGGTTAAGCTACTAGCCTGAGGTCACACAACTTGTAAACCCTCCTGGGATCTTAGGTCCAACCCTCAGGCCTCACCCTTTCCCATAAAGTCACATCTATGACCATGGAAAGGGGGATTTTTGCACTTCTCAAAAATCAGAGATGCGTCGTTTACAAGCACAGGCTGAGGGCGATAACCTCGGACAGAGAGAATGTTGATCTCTGAGAAGTTGATCTGCCCTATGGAGCAGAACCGGGCAAGCAGATGAAGGTGGAGCTGAGGATAGGTCACCTCTAGGAGAGGGGTGCTGTCCCTGGGGACGACGGCCTGCCCATCACCCCCTTCCTGCTACTGCCCAACCCCCAGTGCATTGGAGCCCTTTAAAATCTGTCCCTTACCTCGGTGCTCAGTGGAGATAGAATAGAATTAAAAAAAAATAATTTTACCTTCTTTACATGTATTAACCACAGAAAAAATATTTTTGAATTGTACTAAATGTTAAAGGAACAAAAAGGAAATAAACAGAGAAACGCCAGAAGTGTAAAAACCAGTCTGGTTTCAAGAGCCGAGTTTCTGATCCTGCGATAACATGCCAGCCCCCAAACACCGCTACCACCTCAAAGGCTCTTTGCCCTGCTTCCTGCCCACCCAGCCCCAGCCTGTCCTCAGTGTCTGATGTCCCGGCTACTTCCTGCCCCTCTCCTGGCACCCTGGAACCTCTCTTGGCCAGGGCCAAAGACTCATCCTCCTAAACCCTTGGACTTCTCCCATCCTTTTGAATTTTCCAGACCTTCTAGTCCTGCTTCTTAATTCCAATTTACCCCCTTGGCAGCTGATTGGTAGGTCTATGGTGATTGACACAACCATCTTCCAATGAGTTAACTCCAGAACCTGCCCCGACAGGGTTTCTGTGTAAGGTTGAGTTGTGTGGGTTGTTGACTGCACAAAGGTGCTGAGGGGGAGGTGGGTTGACAACAGCACTTGCAAAGCTACATGCCCTGCTCCAAAAATGACTTTTTTTTTTGTTTCTAATTTGTCTATCCAAAGAGGTACCATCTTCTGCGTTGCACACAGACAACTGCATGGGAGGCCAGCGGTGGCTGGCAGTCTGCAATTCCGCAGACCTACTCTCAACTCCCAGAGATACAGTAACAGTAACTGTGCATAAGCCGTGCATTTGCTCTGATGGGTGTTGCTTCCTGACTGCTAGGATAAACGAACTTTCCTAGATCTTCGTCAGGACCACGGCGCTCAGGTGCCAGACCGTGGGGGCTCAGCCACGCGTACCCTCTCCTGGAGAACCTGCAGAATTCTGGAGAATCCTTTGTGTTTGTCCCAAGGGCCCACTAACCTTCCTCGTGCTGTACCAGGAGCATGTGCTTGCTGGAGATGGGAGAGTCCGTGGCAAGAAAAGAAGCCAAGGGAGGTGGGGGAGGGAGAGCGTTGCACAGTCTTACTGCGTTTGACACGTGGGTGGCTGGAGCATCTTCCTTGCCCACCCCAGCAAAGGCTTCCCAGGACCCTGGTCTGTGCCCAGCTGTGGCTCTCTTTAGAGGGATTTCCCCCCAGGCCCATGTGTGCCAGACATCCCCGTGGGCTGGCTTCCAGGGGACTCGGCCTGCGGGCCCTGCGTTGCTACCAGTCTCTTCCGTGACCTTGAAGAAGTTGCTTCTCCATGTAGGTCTCAGTCTTCTCATCTGTTACCTGAGGGCACTGACACCTGCTCTGTCCCTGAGTTAGGTCAGGTGCACAGAGGCTGGGGTGGCTGCGTCTGTGCTGGGCATCTGCAGGTGTAGATGTGACATTAAATAGAGTCTCCGCCCCTCCTTCCTCGCTCCAGGTCGCCATGGGGATAGCCACCCTGGGCCTCCTCTGCGTGGTGCTCCCACTTCCTCTCCTGGTGTTTGGGGTCCCCACCGAGGAGCCCTCCTCTAGGGAGGCCGTGGCATCCGGTCCCCATGGGTACTGTCAACGGTGCTGTGACTCTGAGTCTGAGGACCCCCTGGCCCCCGCCGATGCTGCAGATGTGTCCTCCGCCTCTCCACCTGGCCTCCCATACGTGCTGCCTGAGGTCAGGCCGTACATAAACATCACCATCCTGAAGGGTGAGTACCTGCCCCAGCTCAGGCTGTGCTGGCCTGTCTGGGGGCGGGGAGGGCAGGCGACCCTCTCCTTGGGCTGGAGTCAGTGGGGTGGAGGGAGCAGGAAAAACCTGGGCAGAAAATGATCCCAGACCCTTCCTGTCATCCATACATTTATTGAGCGGCTACTACGTGCCAGGACTGTTCTGACTTCTGAGGACAGAGAACGAACAAGCCAGACAGAGATGCCTACTGCTGTTCTTGTGGAAGAGGCAGACAGTGGGCCATAAATATATTATCTAAGTTAGTGAATGTTCTACGGTGAGAAATGTGATGGCAGTGCCAGGTAGAGCAGGTAAGGAGCATCAGGAGAGCAGGGGCCGGGGGATAGTTTGCATGTTAAATGGGGTGGTCAGTGTGGGTTCATTGAGAATGTGAGGGAGAAGCCATGTGGCTATCGGGGGCAGAGTAGTCCAAGGAGGATGAGCAGCAGGTGCAAAGGCCCTGGGGCAGAAGTGGGCCTGGTGTGTTTCAGGAGCAGGGGGCAAGAGGAGGAGCTGAGGTTGACGATGAAACAGGGGCCGGGTCAGACTTGGGTTTCCCTGTGTGGGAATGGGGAGCAGGGGGAGGTTCGAGCAGAGGGACCTGATCCCACTTGGGTTTCATATGGATCTCTCTAATGTCCATGGAGCAGAGCCGGCCTGGGTCAAGGGTGGAGGCAGAGAGACCCATGGGTAGCCACTAGGGCTGTCCAGGGAACAGCTGGCTTCCCGTCCTCTAAAATCAGGAAGAGACTTCTGCTGCCGGGGACTAGAACAGCTAGGGCTGGGGCCAGGGCCTAGACACCCTTCACCTCCATCTGTGCCTCCAACAACCCCAAGGCCGGGATGGAGGACACCCCTGAGCCAGCCTTCATCGCCCGCCAGGGCGGGTGGACACTTTGCTGCGGCAGGAGGCACCTGGCTGTTCAGCTCCCTTGCTGTGTGGGGCAGGCTGGTCTCTCCCTCCCTGGCTTGCTGCCTCAATAGTAAAAAGGAGAAGGTAACCCCCTCCCATGATCCCCTTCACCCTCCTCCCCGGGGGCTGGGGCAGAGAGGTGCCCTGTAACCTGTAAAGTGCTGTGCGGGTGAGTTGGGAGTTCTCCGCTAAGGGTGGACCCCCTCCTCCTTGCTTCTCCCCATGCTGTCCTCCAGGGGCCCAGGCCTTCCTTCTGCTCCGTCCAGCAATATTGCCGTGGTCACAGGAGACCTTGGGAAAACACAGGGCCACGGGGTTCTCTCCAAGGGGAGTGGCTAATAGTGCGAGTTGAGGCACTGTGACAGGTGGCAGGGAAACATTTGGGATGAGGTACCTCAAGACCTAGGGGGTCACCTGCTTCTCCTGCGTGCAAGATCAACTTGAAACAAAGGCTGGGCTGAGGCCTGTATGCCTGGGGACTGGGACCCGCTGCCGGAACCCCCGGGCAGTCAGGGACAGGCTGAGCTTTGCTGGGTGGACCACCCTGCCTCATATTTGCAGTCTGTAGAGCACTCTCCCGTAGGACATTTTGTTGAGGGCACAGGAGCACCCCTGTGAGGTGAACATGATCCTCTTCAAGACAGAGACAAAATAACCCAGACCCTGACCGTAAAATGCCCCAGTGGGACATAACACCAACCAAGGAGGGCCTGGCTCCTAACCAGGGCTTTTCCCTTCAGGTTAGGCGGAGGTATTTTTCTTGGCTCCTTCTGTGGTTCAGAAATGCAAAGTGCGACTCAGCCGTCAAAAAGAATGAGATCTTGCCATTTGCAACGATGCGAATGGAACTGGAGAATATTATGCTGAGCAAAATAAGCACATCAGAGAAAGACAAAGAAATGCTGTAGGATTTCACTCCTATGTGGAATTTAAGGAACGAAACAGGAGCATAGGGGAAGGGAAGGAAAAATAAAATAAGATGAAATCAGAGAGGGAAATAAATCATAAAAGGCTCTTAATTCTGGGAAACAAACTGAGGGTCGCTGGGGGGGTTGGGGAGAACTGGGTGATGGGCATTAAGGAGGGCATGTGATGGGATGAGCACTGGGTGTTATATGCCACTGATGAGTCATGAAACTCTAACCCTGCTATGCACTACACAATGCACTATATGCTAACTAAATTGAATTTAAATTAAAAAAAATTTTTAAAGAGAAAAGAAATGCAAAATGCGACCTGCATAGCTCTCATCTCCACAAGAGTCTGGCTGGGTGTGAGGACCTCCAGGGTTTGGGCCTGGCTCCCCGGGGAGCACGATCACACCTTCATTGTAGAGGGAGGGGAATGGGCAGGTGGGAGACAGACTGTCCTGAGACTTGCCCCTCCTGCTTCTCCTGAGCTGTATGACCCTGGGTGAGTCACTTAACCTTCAGATGAGTGGAGATGGTCAGGGTATCTTCCCCTGCCCCCCCCCCCTTTTTTTAAGATTTTATGTATTTATTCATGAGAGACACAGAGAGAGAGAGGCAGAGACACAGGCAGAGGGAGAAACAGGCTCCCTGCAGGGACCCCGATGTGGGACTCGATTCCAGGGCCCCAGGATCACACCCTGAGCCAAAGGCAGACGCTCAACTACTGAGCCACCCAGGCGTCCTGGTCAGGGAATCTTCTTTAGAGGGGCATTCAGGGAGGCGATGCCCGGCATGCAGCAGGTGCACAGTACATGCTAGCTCCTTCTCTGGGCAGGACCTGGGTGGAGCCCTCCGCGAGCGCAGGCAGATGCAACCTGGGGACCAGCCTGGGTGCCTGCCCGGACCTTGCCCTTCTTGCCTCCACAGGTGACAAAGGGGACCGAGGCCTGCTGGGCGCGCCGGGGAAGCTGGGCAGGGAGGGACCCCGGGGGGAGCGCGGCCCGCAGGGCGGCAAGGGCGCCAAGGGGCAGGCGGGCAGCCCCGGCGGCCCGTGCCAGACGCGCTTCTCAGCCTTCTCCGTGGGCCGCAAGACGGCTCTGCACAGCAGCGAGGGCTTCCAGCCGCTGCTCTTCGACACCGTCTTCGTGAACCCCGACGGGCACTTCGACCTGGCCGCCGGCCACTTCGTTGCCCCCCTGCGCGGCCTCTACTTCTTCAGCCTCAACGTCCACAGCTGGAACTTCAAGGAGACGTACGTCCACGTGATGCACAACGAGGAGGCGGCCGTCATCCTGTACGCGCAGCCCAGCGACCGCAGCATCATGCAGAGCCAGAGCGTGATGCTGGCGCTGGCGCCCGGGGACCGCGTCTGGGCGCGCCTCTTCAAGCGCGAGCGGGAGAACGCCGTCTACAGCGACGACGTGGACACCTACATCACCTTCAGCGGCCACCTCATCAAGCCCGAGGATGACTAGTGGCCCCCGCAGGGTAGCCCAGGCCCCGGGTTGGGGGGTGTGGTCAGGGCCTCTGTTTGCACCTCCGGAAAGGGGGCCCAGGGCCTGGCACTCCGCGTGGTCTTCTGCTTCTCTCCTTCCCTCCCTCACCTCTCTGTCCTCTCTTGAACATATTTTAAGAAGCCCTCTAACCTGAATATTCTAGAGTTTTCCCAGCCTTTTAGACCAGAACTTCTTGTGTTTGAATCCCTTGCAGATTCTGATTCTGATTCTGGAGTGGGCCCGGGGTTCTGCACGTCCAGTCTGTTCCTGGGTGATGCTCATGCTGCGGGTGTGTGGTCCCCACCTGAGTGACCAGATTCGAGAACTTCCACAACATTCTTATACTTTCTAAACATTCTGGAGTCCTCCCAACATTCTAGACTCTTCCCAACATCCTTCAGTTCTCTCTCATCCGTCCAGGACTCCCCCTCCCCTGTTCTCCTGCTCCTTCCACCTTCTCTGTCACTCTGTGCACCCCACCCACGCAGCTGCTGTTCACTCATTCATTCATCAAATGCTCACCGAGCGCTCACTCTGTGTCAGGCTCTGGGAAAGCCAAGGTGACTCAGACACAGGCCCTGGCCTTGGTGAGCGCCCAGACCAGCCAGGGTGGGGAGACACAGGATTGGGCAACCAGACCCAGATAAATGCATGGGGGTCTTATCACACAAGTCTGTGTCTGGGCCTTCAGGCACTGTGGCTCCTTGTTGCCCACAGCCCCCCAAGGTGGGATAGAGTCCCCTCGGTGGGTATTCTTACCCTTGCCCATTCCTTTCCTTCCTGACCAAATGCCCTTCATTAAAGCAAACCCCAGAGGAGCCTTGGTCAGGGCAAAGGTGCTATGAAGGGAGGATCCAGGGGCTTGGGGCAGTTGGGGGTAAAGAGACCCTTGGGGAAGGGAGCCCAGACCCATAGCTCCCCACACACCTGGTACAGTAACGTGCGAGGAACCCATTCTCCTCACACATCCCCTTCCCTGTCCCGTCAGCCCCTCCCCGTTCAAGGCACCTGGGCCTCAGTTCTCCCAGGCTGCCAGCCACCATCAGATATTGGCGTTTGGCCCCCAGGTGCTGTCTGACCCTCCTTGGCCCCTCTCGCCAGCCCAGCGTCCCTGGCTTCCCAGGCTTGGCTCAGGGGCTGAGGCTCCAGTTGGCAGCTCCCACCAGGGAGCCCAATGCTGCCTTTACGTGCCACCGGGTGATGGGCCAAGCTTTGGACCCCTCAGCAGGTCTAGGGAACTGAAGCGGGCACCATCCCAGGTCAGTCGGGGGGAACTTCCTCTGAGCCGTGATGCCAAGACAGGCACGGGGAGAGACCAGGGCCCCCAATCAGGGACATGGGCTTTCTTGTCCTTTCTCCCTCTTGCAGGCTGGGGCAGCCTGGTGGTCTCTAGCCTTCCTCTCCCCAATCCCAGGCGGCCTGAACCTCTCTCCAGAGGGAGATGGCCTCCACCCATTGGTGCTTATGCAAACTCCAGGGCAGAGGTGGCCCTGGCGGTGGTCTCTGGTGCTCACTCATAGCTGACAGATTCATGGCTAAACGGCTGGGGGCTGGCAGCAGGACCTGACCAAGTGCCGTGAAGGCTGGTGCTACACAGCCACCCCTAGCCTGACTTCGCCCCTGCCCTGCTTGTCCAGAGCAATTAAAGTTTGTGTGTCTTTTTGGCAATTCAGGCTGTTTTTTCTGCTCGGCTCCCACGGCCCACCTTGGGAGTGCAGCCCGTCCTGGTTCTGCTGGGGCCCCGCTGCAAAGCCCCACACACTCGAGCCTCAGTTTCCTGGTCTGTGAAATGGGGATGGATGAAGGTGATCTACCTCATGGGGTGGCCATCAGGATCAGAAGAGAGGTTGCCTGCTGAGCACTGCATTCATCCTTTGAGCCGCACCTGCTGGGCACCGACTGTGTGCTGGGAGCCCCACTAGGTGCGGAGGCTGCCGGGAGAACACAATCCATCACCTTGCCTTGGAGAACACCATGAAGTTTACGTCCGGGTGAATCATTTGCAAGTGCCCAGCACCATGGCCCCTACTAGGGAATGTGTCTCTTATTTTGTGTTTAGATTTACAAGAGAACTGTTGGCTATTCTCTGGAGGGAAACACACAACTTCGCTCTGCAGTGGACTGGCTTGACAGGGTCTGACTTTTTTTTTTTTTTTAAGTTTTTAAATTTATTTTTTCATGAGACACACACACACACACACACACACAGAGGCAGAGACACAGGCAGAAGCAGGCTCCATGCAGGGAGCCCGACGCAGGACCTGATCCCCGGTCTCCAGGATCACACCGTGGGCTGAAGGCGGCACTAAACCACTGCGCCACCCAGGGATCCCCAGGGTCTGACTTTCTAAGCTAGCATGGTGGCTAGTCACATAAATATATTTACATTTGAAGTGACCCCTGTGGGCCCTCCTGACACACTTAGCGGTGTGTGTGTCGAGGGAGCATCCTGCACCTCTGCGCATCACTATTGGTGTGCTGGGAGGCTTTCCGAGCACCCTGTGCAAGAGAAGCTATAACGAATGACCCTACCATGACCACCCCAGGACTCAGCCCAGCCCAGTGGCCCGGCCCTGGCAGGGGAGACATAGTCTCCATTTCTCTGGAACCTATATGGTCATAGCAAGAGGCTTCCCACTATACCTGAGCACTCCTCACAGGTCAGGGGCTACTCAGGGGAGCGACGCCGCAGCATGCTTTTGGCCCAGGCTCTGTTCACGTGTCATCGGCCTACCCCACACTCCCGCTGTGCCCCTGGGTGGAAAAGGTTGCCCCTGGTGCCAGGAGCCTTTTGTCCTGAATATCGTGGCGAGAAGTGGTTTGCCGATCACTAAGGCAGCAAAGCTTTTTTTAAAAAAAATTTTTGGCAGCAAAGCTTTTGAAACTTCTTGCCAAGCACCTGCAGGAGGATTGAAGTTTGTCCCTTGGAAGCTAAAGCCAAAGGTCCCAGGCATTTCCAGGCCACGTTAGGTCAGGGCTCCCAGAACGCAGCTCCTCTGCTGTGTCAGCTGACCTGTGGCAGACGCTTCTATCCGTGCTTCAGAGCAGCCTCTGATGTCCCCCTGGGCCAGTTTTTGCACAGGAGCCCGGTTTCCGGGTTGGTGGCATAGCTTCAGTGGGTGGTAAGAGCCTCTGGGTCTTTGTGATGGGAATTCTTCCAGAAGGCTGTGTCTTGGTGGGTGCTAGGCAAGGACCCTGGAAAACTGGGGACCCCCAAGCCTGCGGCCAGGTCTGTGGTGACAAATGTCTCCCAGGAGATCTGTGATGCTTAGTCCTGGTGACTCCAGCGAGCCCCTGTCTCTACCTCTGCACCCTGGGGGGCAATCCCTTTCAGTTACATATTTTGAAAATAGTTATTTCCCTCTGAAATGTTAGCAAACAAGGAAGGGGAGAGAGAACTGGGCCAGGAGGAGATGCAGTCCAGGAAATGGGAAGCAGCCTAGACTGGGAGCCAGGGGACCTCGCCTCCGCTTTGCCATTGTTTGGTCTGGGGTTGTGGGGGGTGGGGTGGGGGTGGTGGGATGGGGGTGGGATGCAGGGAACATGGAGGGGGAAGGGTGACCAGACTGAGCTGGTGTAGGCAGCTGAGCCTGGCTGTGTCCCTGGAACCCTGCTATCTGGGTGGGTGGGCTGGATCCATCCCGTGGGCTCAGGTAGGGTCTATCTGGGAGTCCTCAGCCTTCCCAGGAAGAGGATCCACACAGAAGATCCTTTCCTCTGTTGCAGGGAGTTTGGGGGAGAAAGAGGAGAGTTCTAGAGAGGGTCATCTAGGGAAGCTTCATAGTGGAGGGGACATTTGAGCAGGGCCTGGGAGGACAAATAGAGTTCCAAAGACACATGATATGGGGAAAAGGGACAGCAGGATGAAAGGGGTGGAGGTGGGACAGTGCAGCCCATGTTCTGGGCAGTGAGAGAGGCCAGTATGCTAGGTGCATATTTGGGAAGGTGGCAGAGACAGAGCAGGGTGGGATTCCAGGCTGGATAGGTAGGGAGGGACCATTAAAGGCCTCCAATGTCTGGCTAAGTCGGGACTTGACGTCCTAGATGCTGGGGGGCTGCTGGAGGGTTCTGAGCAGTGTGGTCACTGGTTCGAGCTACTAAGAGGGAAACTGCTCTGGCGGTCAGGTGGAGCATGGATTGCACAGGGTTTAAAGCAGAGGGGCAGGAGGAGGGCAGCAGGGGGCAGGGTGGGGGGAGCTGGGCAACCAGCTTGAGCAAAGGGTCTCCCAGGCTCTGCTGCTCCTACCAGACTTTTCTTTCTTTCTTTTTTTTTTATTTTTAAAGATGTATTTATTTATTCATGAGGGACACACAGAGAGAGGCAGAGGCACAGGCAGAGGGAGAAGCAGGCTCCATGCAGGGAGCCCGATGTGGGACTTAATCCCAGGACCCTGGGATCACACCCTATGCTGAAGGCAGACGCTCAACCACTGAGCCACCCAGGTGTCCCCCTACCAGACTTTTGTATGACAGTGAGAAGAAAGCAGGCCTGAGTGCCAGGAGGTGGGCCGCGGGGCCAGCTCTGCCCTGGGGAGTCCCTGAGTGACCCAAGGACTGGAGGGTGGCTGGGGAACTTGTCTGGCCTCTCTCGAACCCCTCATTGCCCTTATCTGTCACCTTGGATTCGAAGTCCCTCTTCTCTTGCCCCATGGAGGCCTCTGGGGTTATCCAAGGCTATATGGAGTGACTATTTTCAGAACCCTGGATCAAAACCCATGGGCTAATTAATGATGGAGGAGAATGTGAAATTAGTGCTGATTGTCCCAGAAAATATAACGTGCCAAGCGACAGGGCTAAGGCAATTTCAGAGAAAGGGCACTTGGGGGGGCTCAACGGTTGAGCATCTGCCTTCGGCTCAGGGCGTGATCCTGGGGTCCCAGGATTGAGTCCCACATCAAGTTCCCTGCAGGGAGCCTGCTTCTCCCTCTGCCTGTGTCTCTCATGAATAAATGAATAAATAAATAAAATCTTAAAACAAAAATTTCAGAAAAGCACTAAGTATTCAAATGCCAGGGGGTGTGGGCTTTGAGCCTGGCCGGGGGCTTCTGATCCTGGATCCGGATTTCTGGCTCAGAGCAGACACTTATTTTCCTATACGTGTGAGCTGGGCTTGTGAGCTGGGCTTGTCACCTCGTCCCGCTGAGTGTCAGTTTTATTTCAAATGAGGACAGAACGTGATGGTGTTTTGTGCACAGCGGTGCTGGCACAGAGCAGGTGCTCCAAGGGCGTTTGTGGGATGAATGACTTCCACTGAGCAGGAGCGGAGAGGAGCCACCGGAGGCCAGAACCCGAGTCCTTGGCCGGGGTGAAATCCTGCCGCTCCCTCTGCCGTTCCCTCCGCCTCCTGCCAGCCCGCGGGTGCCCGGAGCCCAGTAGCCTCGCTCTGCCACGTGTACATCTGGAGAAAGGGAAACCGGGCAGAAACTCGACACGACCAGAAACAGATGTCAAGAACATTATGGGTGGGGCCCCGAAAGGGGAGCGCTGGGGCCAGCGGGTGCAGCGGGAGCCAGAAGGGAAGGAGGGATTTCCAGGACAGGAGTCAAGAGTGCACGGCTTAGCCCGCTTAGCCCGTGCCTGGTAGCAGCTGGTCCGTGCTCCGGGAGGAAGGGAGGCTGGGGAGGCTGGGGGGCAGGCGGTGGGGTGGGGGGCCAGAACCAGGCCCTGGGGTGGGGGGTGGGGTGGGGGCCAGAACCAGGCCCTGGGGTGGAGGGTGGGGTGGGGGCCAGAACCAGGCCCTGGGATGGGGGGTGGGGTGGGGGCCAGAACCAGGCCCTGGGATGGGGGGGCAGAACCAGGCCCTGGGGTGGGGGGAGTGGGGACAGAACCAGGCCCAGGGCCGAGCAGGGTCAGGCTGGGGTGTGAAGTCACTGCCTGGAGGTGGTGGTGTGGGCGGGAGGAAGTACTAAGTGAGATCTGGCACCAGAGGAAACGGGACCCACTGCAGGGCAGCAGCGGAGTGAGAGTGAGGGTGTGAGGCTGTGGGTGGCCGACTTCGTCCTGGCTGACTGCTACTCACCACTGGGGGGAATGAACTGATGCCACAAACCCAGATATACGCGAACCAGAACTTGCTTTATTTCCTCACCACGTAACTCAATTTCTATCAGGCACTTCCATTCTGCTGAAGTCGAAGAAACATGCCTTTGGCCAGCCAGGGCTCCCCTGTCACCTCATGTCCCAGGAGGCCACCCTGGCAGCCGGGAGAGGTCAGCAGGCACCCCAGCCACATGACATCTGCCGAGTTGAGTTCATGGATGTGCCATCTGCTCTGGCCTCCTGGTTCCCCCCACATTCCTGCTGAATCATGCTCAGAGCTCCCGGGGTCCTCACTCCCCTTGGACATCCAGGTGTGCCCTGCACAGGTGCTTTCCTTGCAAATTCTGGGTCCCTCGGAAGGCTGTCTGGGCCCAGCCCCTCTGCCCAAACACACCGCGTGACCATTTCTTCCCTGGGTTCACAGCTACCTCCCGGGGTTCGGCTGGGAGGGAGGGATGGCACCTCTGAATCTCGGATGCCCCACACTTGCTGGGGATCTTCTCTGTGTGCCACTCCCAGGCTTGGCTGGAGAGGAGGGGTAGGGTCCCCTTCGCCTAGAACCCCAAGACTGAAGCACTCCTTGCTTCCTCTCTGCGTGCCTCCTCACCTTCCCGCCTTCCCCCTCCCAG